TTTGGTGTGACGGGGATTCGAACCCGCGACCCATAGATTACGAGTTGAGCGCCAGGCCATCTTAGAGAGAGAGAGAGAAGTATACCAAACATCTTATATACCCGGGGTAGGTAACCCGCAGCTTCTGGGCCACACGCAGTCCATTGACTACACAATTTGGCTAATGAAGGAACGAGTGGAGAATTAGACCCCTCAGGTCTAGCCTGATTGGGGCAGGTTAGTACATGTTGATAATGTTTAAAAGGTCGCCAAATATTACACGTCCGCTTTTAATAAAGAATAATTTAGGAATTCTTAAATGCCACATTTTTGGGGAGTCATATCATCTGCTCCACATAGTATTACCACGATCAGTTCTTTAGCCTCTCCAGGTAGCTTTTGCTACTTCTGCCTGTGCACTACTGTAGTCCACAATAAAAACAAATTCAATTTGCACGTGCTTGAAAAACCGTCTGCATACAAACACAACTTTTAAAATATTGAGATAAAAAGGGGTTGAGTGCTTTGATTGGCAGTCTCTACATGCTATTGCGGATCTTCGACTTAGTAGCAATCTGCTAAGCCTCCCTCAAAGCTCTTACTCGTTGTTGACCAGTGCAGATACTTGTTTCTTTATTAATCTTAAGGCGAGTTAATTTAATAACAAGAATGTCAAAAACAAACGTATGGCCAGCGGGTTAAATCTAACATCAGATACGATTAGGTTAAACTCAACTGAGTTATGATTAGCAGGAGGAAATATTAATAAACTTCCCATCGCTCTGATATGTCAGACACAATACGTACAGAATCACCAACCGATTATGAAACCATGCCTGGAGCTTAGAAACTGAATATTAATGAGTAGGACCTCCCAGTGGTAAGCATTTAATTGATTAACAATAGATGTGTTGACAAGGTTAGAGGTTTTCTTATGAAGTAATACAAGATCCAAGTAAGCTCTCCCCTCTTCTAAAAAAAAAGCTGGAGTTGCCATCTCTCAGTGATTGATAGGAATAAACAAAAATTAGGAAACAGTTAACAGATTTAACACAGATAAATACGTATTGCATAGTGCTATAATGAATGTACATGATAGAATACGCTAAGAGTAATAATGTATGCTTTGAACGAGGCCTCTGATGGCACGTTTTACAGATTTATCAGGAAATAACGTAGATACAGCGATGGAGAGTAAACTTTTTAAGCTATGTCTTGGTGTGATATTTGTCCTATACATTGTTTATGACTTGGAATACACCGAGATCTAGAGCTCAAAGTGTCACAATCGAAAGTCATGTTCCTACCTATGATTGTGGCCACGTTACTGCCTATGATTGTGGCCACGTTACTACCTATGATTGTGACCACGTTCCTACCCTATGATTGTGACCACGTTCTTACCAAGATTGTGGCCACGTTACTACCTATGACTGTGACCACGTTCCTACCTATGATTGTGACCACGTTCCTACCTATGATTGTGACCACGTTCCTACCCATGATTGTGACCACGTTACTACCTACGACTGTGACCACGTTCCTACCTATGATTGTGACTACTTTACTACCTATGCTTGTGACCACGTTACTACCTATGACTGTGACCACGTTCCTACCTATGATTGTGACCACTTTACTACCTATGCTTGTGACCACGTTCCTACCTATGATTGTGGCCACGTTACTACCTATGACTGTGACCACGTTCCTACCTATGATTGTGGCCACGTTCTTACCAAGATTGTGACCACGTTCCTACCTATGATAGTGGCCACGTTCCTACCTATGATTGTAACCACGTTCCTACCTATGATTGTGGCCACATTACTACCTATGACTGTGACCACGTTCCTACCTATGATTGTG